TTTTGAGACGGGGTCTCCCTGTAGCCCCAGCTGTCCTAGAACTCACTATGGAGACCAGGCTGGCCTTGAACTCACAGAGATCCACCTGCCTCTGCCTCCCAAGTGCTGGGACTACAGGCGTGCGCCACCACACCCGGTAGTAGTTTACTTTTTTAAAACAAAGCGGGGCTGGTGAGATAGCTCAGTGAATAAAGGCACCTGCCACCAACCCTTAAGATCTGAGTTCTATCACAAGCATCTACATGGTAGGAGAGAACTGACTCCTGCAAGTTGTCCTCTGACCTCCACCAGTATCCTGTGGCACACATAATCCCCACTCCCCATGAAAGAGAGAGAAAGAGAGAGAGAAATAAAAAATTTAAATAAAGTGGCCAAGTGTGGTGGCTCACGCCTTTAATCCTAGCACTCTGGAGGCAAAGGCAGGCAGATCTCTCTTAGTTCGAGACCAGAGTTCCAGACCAGCCAGAGTATATAGAAAAATCCTGTCTCAATAAATAAATAAATAAATAAATAAATAAATAAATAAACAATTTAAATAAAGCAAGCAGATTATATCATGAGGCTTATAAATGAGATATTATGGGAATTGGGCATGAAGGATAGAATCACAAGAAGACTGTGCAAAATGTTGCATTTGAGACAATATAAAAACTATACTAAGAGACTGGCAAGTGCTCAGTAGTTAAGAGCACTGGCTGCTCTTGCAGAGGACCCAGGTTTGGTTCCCAGAACCCATATTGTGGCTTACAACTGTCTGTAACTTCAGTTCCAGGGGATCCAACACTCTCTTCCAACCTCCATGGAAACTGCACATACAGGTACACTTATATACATACAGACAATACACTCAATTACATAAAACAGAAATAAATTTTAAAAACTATACTAAGACCGGACATGGTGGTACACCCCTTTAGACCCAGGCAGAGGCAGATGTTTCTCTGTGAGTTCAAGGCCAGCCTGGTCTGCAGAATGAGTTCCAGGCTAGCTGGGGCTATAGGAAGGCCCTGTCTCAAAAAGACAAATAAAATATAAAATACTAAAATAAAATCAATAAAATAAAACAAAATCTTAAAAAAATAAATATTATACTAAGGATATGACTTAACTATCATTAGTTCCATTACAGTATAGACCATGACCTAGACAACAGCTTCTCTCCTAGGGTAGAAACATGCTTTGGAACTAATTCTTTGCCAAATAGCTCCATAAATTTAGGCTACCATGTTACCATTTAGACTTCATTTACTGGAAATGTAGTTTGTCCCATTTCCTTGCACCGGCTCATTGGCTGTATTTTTCATTTTCCTTGTGTAAGATGACAATGGCCCTGCCATAAACTGCATGAGCAGATTAACCGTTTCATAGCTTTAAAAGTAGATTTCTAGGGTAGCTTTCCATAAGCAGTGTTTGTAATTTGCTTTTTCATTAAAGCACTGTTAATATTAGCAGAAAGGCTGATTTTCTCTGAAATGATACCGTTCTGTGAGACTATAGACACTCTCCCCTGACGCTGGCCTGTGAGAAGGGAAATGGACTAGATGGCTCCTGAAAGCTTTTCTTGTTCCACTCAGAGATCTGCACCCCCTTTTAGGTGGTGAACATATGAAAAGTGACTTTTGGAATTACTACTGGCCCTGCATTGCCTGCCACCTTCAGCTTAATGTCTGCTTCACCACAAAGATTAACATGTTTTCCACTCTTCACTCATTTGTCAGGGGAACTTCGGAGTGTTCTGGAACTTGAAGTCTACCCTTGGTAGGGATGATTAGTGGATAATTGCCTATTCTTCTGTGGAATTTCCATTTTTAGATGACACTGGGCTCTACAGTCATTATTTCTTTGGCAGGAGAACCCAAATGCAATGGAGTATATGTTTTCCTCTGTCCCTGGCCCAGTTTAAATGATGACTCACTTGGGCCCTGGGGCTTTGCTTCATGCTCTCATTTAGGGGCCACTTTCTACCCTCCTCCTTATTTGTCTTTAATGTTCTTTTTGAAAAATCATATATCCTGTGACACATAGGATGTGTCTCTGTTGTTACTGTTTGGTAAGTACACAATACAGTACCACCCCCCAAAGTGGACAGGCAACCCAATATGTCCTCAGCCATGCCATCCAAATAGAAGCTACTATGGGTTGGGATAATGCAGAAAGAATGTCTTTAGGGAAGTGAGGCCTATTCAGGACACTTGAAATGCTGGATGGGGTGAGGGAGAAATATTCAGAGCTTTGTTAGTAGAAAAACCAGACACCCCCTCCCTTGTTTGAATTTCATCTAATGATGATTTCTTATTTTTGCTTTCTAGTTTTAACAGTGTATGCCAAGGAACTCACATACTTTTTCGGGAATTCAGCTTCATCCAAGCCACGCCTCACAACAGGGCATCATTTTTACGGGCCTTCTGGAGGTGCTTCCGAACTGTAGGCAAAAATGGTGGTAAGTCTTCACAGTTCTTTTTAAAAATACTTTATTTTATTTTATTATTTTAATTTTTGGTCTTTTTGAGACAGGGTCTCCCTGTAGCCCCAGTTGTCCTGGAACTCACTATGTAGACCAGGCTGGCCTTGAACTCACAGAGATCCGCCTTCCTCTGCCTCCCGAGTGCTGGGATTAAAGGCATGCGCCACCACGCCTGGCCTAAACTTTTTCATTATCATTACATATTTTATAGTGATCTCTGATCAGTGATCTTTGATTTTACTATTGTAATTAGGTTTGCTATTGTAATTTTACTTTGATTTACTCTTGGGGCACTATGAACAATGCTTATATAAGACCAGAGATCCGTTCCTCTGCCTCCCGAGTGCTGGGATTAAAGGCATGCGCCACCACGCCTGGCCTAAACTTTTTCATTATCATTACATATTTTATAGTGATCTCTGATCAGTGATCTTTGATTTTACTATTGTAATTAGGTTTGCTATTGTAATTTTACTTTGATTTACTCTTGGGGCACTATGAACAATGCTTATATAAGACACTGAACTTCACATACAGGGTTGTATGTGTTCTAAGTGCTCCACCAATGAGCCATTTCTCCATCTCTCTCCCTCTCTTTGAGCCTCCCTGTTCTCCAAGACACAGCATTGAAACTGGGAAATTATTAATGGTCCAGTGGCCTCTAAATGTGCAGGGAAAAGAAAGAGTTGAATGTGTCTCACTTAAAATCAGAAGCTAGAAATACTTAATCTTAGTGAGGAAGTCGTGTCAAAACCTGACTAGGCCTCTTATATCAGTTAGCCAATTATGAATATAAAGGAAAAGTCCTTGAAGGAAATGTGTTTGAAGTGCTGCTCAAATGGACACACAAGTGATAGGAAAGAGAAACTGTGGAGCCCGGCAGAGTGGTGCGTATCTGCAATCCCAGCACTTGGGAGGCTGAGGGAGGAAGATCATGAATTTGAGGGCAGCTTGGGCTAGGTAGCAAGATGCAATTCCAAACACACACAGGAAGGAAAAAAGGAAGGCAGGAAGGGGAGAAAGACAGAGACAGAGACAGACACACAACCTTATTGCTGATATGGGGAAAGTTTTAGTGGTTAGATAGAATATTAAACTAGTCCTGACATTCTCTTGAGCCAAAGCTAGCCCAGGGCAAGGCTCCCACTTTCCACCTACAAAGGCTTAGAAGAACTACTAAAGTCTGATCCTAGCAGAAGGAAGTTTGTGAGTTTTAAGGAAAACTTTTCTGTATTATTAAGATACAAAGTGATACAGCAGGTGGTGCTAAAATAGATGCTGTAGCAGACTGTCCAAATCTAGCTAAGATAACTGAGGGAGCCTGATCCTAAACAACAGATTCTCAGTGTAAACAGAACTATCTTCTATTTATTTGAAAAAGATGCCATCTAGGGCTTTCCTAGCTGGAGAGGAGACATTAGTCCTGGATTCAAAGCTTCAGAGGCAGGCTGCTCTCCTGTTGGGGACTGATGCAGCTGGTGGCTTTAAGTTAAAGCAAGTACTCATTTATCATCTTGAAAAACCCTAGTCCTTAAGAATCATACTAAATCTACTCTGCTTGTGCCTATAAGTGAAACAGCAAAGCCTGGATGACAGCACATCTGTAAGTAACATGGTTTACTGAACATTATAAGCCCACTGTAAGATTTATTGCTCAGAAAAAGATCCTTTCCAAAATATTGGTGCTTACCAGCAACGCACCTGGTCACCCAAGAGCTCTGATGGAGTCATACAAAGACATTAATGTTGTTTTCATGTCTATTAATACAATATCTATTCCACAGCCCATGGATCAAGGAGTAATTTATTTTTATTTGTGGGTGTGGAGAAGAGATTTTAAAAATACCATTTAAAAAAGTTAATGTGAGGGACTGGAGAGATAGCTCAGTGGTGTTCTTCTAGAGGGCTCGGGTTCAGTTCCCAGTACCCATATCAGGTAGCTCACAACCATCTGTAACTTCAGATCCAGGTGATCTGGCACATCTGACCTTCACATGTACCCACATTCATATGCACATACTTCACCCACATATATAGATAATTAAAAATAAAACAAGTTGCCGGGCGTGGTGGCGCATGCCTTTAATCCCAGCACTCGGGAGGCAGAGGCAGGTAGATCTCTGTGAGTTCAATGCCAGCCTGGTCTACATAGTGAGTTCCAGAACAGCTGGGGCTACAGTGAGACCCTGTCTCAAAAAGACCAAAAAAAAAAAAAAAAAGAGTACACTCTTATGCCTCGATGGGTGATGGGTGCTTCAGTAATCTTCCTGATACTTCATCTATTGTAGTATAAATAAATAATAAATAAATAAATAAATAAATAAAAGAATTAAACAAGTCTTTAAGAAGTTAACATATATTATATTATAGGAAACAGAATCATAAGAAGCAAAGAACTGAGCTGTTTGTGATCACAAGCAGTTCATCTGGACATTTTCGTCTAGGTCCTGTATGTGTACACACTTCCATTTCAGATAACTGAACTTGAATAGTGTATGCTATGCTTTTCCACACATTGTGAATATTCATCAATTCTAAATCTCAAAACTACATGAATATTTTTATAACCAAAAATATGCTATTCCAAATCAGTGTGTTAGAAAAACAACAACTGTACTCTTACCTTTCATGGGGACAAAAAATTTACTGAAGACAAAAATGGCAACAGGCAGAGTTATAGTTAAAGTCCTGCATTTTCTGAATGCTCAATTTAAAAAGAGACAGCACAACAGAATATGCTAAACATAGTGTTTCTAAGAGAATTTATTGGACCTATACTATTAAAATATTAGCAAGAAGGCATGTTCTTACTGAAGTAATGTATTTTGATAGCCCAGCCTGAAGATGTACACATAGTGTCACTGATCAAAGTGTAACTCTGAGCACACTGCACACCTCTCTCTTCCTTCTGCCCCTGTTGCCAGCCTGATGAACAAATCCTGGTTCACACTGCCAAAAGGGGGGGGTAACAATTCTATGTCAAAGATGCATCTTTTCTATTGATTATAACAGATATTTACAAGTTGGATAATATACCAGCTCCCTGGATACCTATAAAGCTTAAATGTGAAATAATGAACTTTGTATACAATCAACAAGTATTTAACTAAAAATACACAAAAGACCCATAGTTATAATTTAAAAACATCTTTTGTTTGTGGAGATACTAGCAAAGAGCCTTCTCCTTGCCCTCTTTTTTCTTCTCCACTTCAAGGAGTAGTTTCAACTTTAAAGTCTTACTTAATACTTAAGCAATGCATTTTGTAAAGCAATAGCTGTCATAAAGACTGATTCCTCTGATGTATCTGGGCAAAGCAAATTGAAAACCCCCTGAAAGTTTCACCATTGCAAATGCCTTTAAAAACATTCAAGATTGGGCCAGGCATGGTGGTGCATGCCTTTAATCCCAGCACTTGGGAGGCAGAGGGAGGCAGATCTCTGTAAGTTCAAGGCCAGCCTGGTCTACATAGTGAGTTATAGGCCAGCTCAGGCTACAGAGAGACCCTGTTTCAAAAAGACAAAAAAAAAATCATGATTTAGCTAGGTGCAGCTCACACCTGCAATTCCAGCAGGGAAGACCGGAGGATCAGGAGTTCAGGGTCATCCTTAGCTATATATCAAGTTCAAGGCCAGTCTGTGCTACATGAAACCCTGTTTAAAAAAACAGACAACAGCCAGGGGTGGTGGCACACACCTGTGCTCCCAGCACTCGGGAGGCAGAGGCAGGCAGATCTCTGTGAGTTCAAGGCCAGCCTGCTCTACATAGTGAGTTCCAGGACAGCTGGGGCTCCCTGTCTCAAAAAAAAACCAGCCAAAAATCACATTCATGATTCATGGATGGAGATTCAAGCATCAACATTAACTTGGACAAAGTTGATTTCTACCTGCATGGATGATTGTGAGACGTTCAAGACTTGAGCAGAGAAACCACAGAAGTGAGGAAAATAGCAAGGGACCTGGAATTAGAAGTGGAGCCTGAGGATGTGATGAAATTGACAGTCTCATAAACTCTTACTATATTGCTAAAAATGGATCCTTATGTTTACAGACAAGTATGCCAGTCACTACTCATCAACAAAGCTTCTTTTACAACAGACAGAGACTATTACAGAGAGTAAGTGTCTGCGAGATGCCCAACCTAAGTGACACATCTACAATGGAACCTCTACACCCAAGGCTCATGGAACATAGTGGAACAAGGGGTCAAGAGAATACTAATGTATCTCTCAACTCTCATCAACGAAGCTTCCGCATGCAACAGAGGCCACTGAACACAAAAGGCCAAAAGATTGTAACAGCCAGGGGAGGGGGGTATATGACTGTAAGGAAACAGTCTTACAGGCTCCTGGGACCTTGCTCATATGAACTTATAGCAATGGTGTAACATGCACAAGACCCATGCAAACTCAGACAAAAACCCAGTGCAGAACTAGGGAAATGGACAGCAGGCCCCAACCTTAGCCAAAGAACTATTGGCAACTGATTACTACTGTGTGAGGGAGAGTTGGTCTTTAAGGGAGAGACTCTAGATAGGCTGACTAGACCTCAGTGGATGAACTTGCACTGAGGGATATCTGGGTATACTAACTTAACAGGCCTAAACATAAATGACAGAATGCATGAAATCCAGTGGAGGGGGTATGGGAAGGTGCAGATGGGGGAAAGAATATAAAGATGATTAAGATGTTTTGTATGAAATACACAAAAATTCAATAGAAATTAAAAATATATATATATTTTTAAATTTTATGTGTGTGAGTGTATTGCCTGTGTGTATTTAAGTGCACCCGTGTCGTGCAATGCCGTGGAGGTCAGAAGAGGGCGTCAGATTCCCCTTGAAATGGAGTTAAGAACGGTTAGTAGCTGCCATGTGGGTGCTGGGAATCAAACCCGGGTCCTCTGCAAGAGCAGTCAGTGCTCTTAACTGCTGAGCTCTCTCTCCAGCCCCTCAATAAAAAACTGAAAAAAAATAAAAT